GAAACATTCCTCTATTTTTCAAGACTGAATTGAACTTCGTAATATTTTCAGTTTTCACGTAATACATCATTTTTGTCAAAAATCGTGCCTTTTTACAAAACCTCGTGTTTTTCAAAAATTGAGAGAGATAAAGACATTCTGCTTTCGGATTCGTGATCTGGACGACAAACTCTACAAGAATCTTCTAGTGAATATTGCAGATCAGAAAAAAGTTTTAATTTGTTGAACAATATTATTATTAGGTATACAAACTGATTCGTGGCCCCCACAATTAATTATCGACTCAAAACCGCCATCATTTCTTCTCGAGAGGGCATTAGCCAACGGTCCCAGAAATGACAAAGAATATTTTCAAGACAAGAAAGTATTTTAGTTTAAATACACAACAAATCCATGAGAAGAAGGCCGTAAATTCATTTGTACGTCTGATATTTAATAATCGAAGAAAGGTCGAGGTATCGAAGTATTTAAAATCGTCGTAGTAGCGACACCGCTAGACTCCATAAGCATCTCGCGACCGCAACTCTCAGCGAGTGTCTCTCGATCGGAAAGTCCAGAACATAAGAAGGACCGACCCTTCCCCCCACCGTTCATTTTCCTTCCCCCACCCTCCCTTCGGTCATCGGGGACAGCAGCCGAGTGTCGAGCATACGGTTTTACCTTCAAAGACAGTTGTTGCAGCAGAGAAGGCAACAGGTCGTCGACGAGATCCTGCGTGGCACGCGTCCGTGGTTCTTTTGTAAACACAGTGCTTCACGCCACTTGTGAAAGAAAAATTAGAAAGTTTGACGTCGTGATTTGGTGTGTGTGTGTGTGTGTGTCGATCGAAGTGGTCCCAGGGAGTGGAGTTCTACTATAAAAAGGGTACGATCTCACAACGTGCGTGAAAATTCATTTATTGCCTGAATCACAGCGAAATCTTCGTGGAGAACAGGAGGCACCTTAGTCGATCCTGAATCGTTACGTGTTGATCGACAGGTGAACGACTCCCTTGGAACGTCGACGCTGTTCCTCGGGAGCAATTAAAGACGCATAATCGGTAATTGCAATTAATCCAACTGGAATTCCCTCTGGGATCGAGTCAGCGACGATCAAAGGTTCGACTTCAGGTTCACGTGGGGCAAATTGTTTATCCGGCTCGAACTGGAGAACCGCGTTCAACAGCTCGTTGACGGTTCGCCAGGACCTCCTCCGCGCTCGCAATCGGCGAATTAAGAAGTTATGACGATTAGACGGGTAGCGTTTAACTTGATGGTAGCAATTGATCACTTAAACTAGACCGCGGTCTCTCAAGGTGGACGCATCCTATTCTGTTACGATCGTTATATAGGTTGCTCTTCGTCCGGGTCGATCGGTTACATTTTAATTGACGTCCCGATCGAGTTAGTTCGATTACTTGTACGCTGGTAATTAGACATCTGGTTGGAAATTGAACGTTAGAAGCCTAAAGCCAAGTCTAGACACGTGCAACAGCGAGCACGCGCATTCAAAATCCCGTCCACACTCGAGCAACATGCAACTGGAATTTTAGGATTCATTTTTGAAAAAAATTTAATTTGAAAATGTCATGAATTGCTTCTTGTTATTGCTGTTATCTTATTTACACGATATCAGAAAGTACTGTTACTTTCTTTTACTATGTATTTAATTGGAATTAGGGATAAATAATGAATTAAACTATAAAGAAATCGAATACTTTTACCGATGCTCTACATATCGTAGGCTTATATCTTTTATGATCCGTTTTGTACACCCATAATTTTGTACATGGCAAAAAGCAACTGCATAATGTGTGAAAAAGTAATTTGTCATGGCAATAGAGTGAATACATATCTGGATCGATGGGAATTTATTAAAATAACCTCCCCGCGAAGATGTTTACGACACTGAAAATTAATGTTACACTATCTTCATAATAAAGTAAAATTGAAACAGAAAAAGTAGGCTTGTAACTCTTTAAAAATTAATTCTTTATACGCCCGGCAGAAATATGTAATTTTCTTTCTTCTAACACAGTAATTAATGTTCGGGTAGGCATGATAACAAATACATTCCTTCTGATATTTCCTACGATGCGCGTCATAATGCTTTTGTTCGGCTCGACGTTGCACGAAGTCGTTAGCTGCGCGTCGACTCATTAAAATCGACCCTTACAGGAGTGTTCTGCAATGAGCGTTGCACGTGTCTGGACCTGGCTTAAGGTGTGGCGAAATCGAGTCTTGAATATTATTTATTCTTCCGCACGGATTGCATCGTGTCAATTTGGCGTACAGTCGCATAAATACTTCCGATTACCGTCCTTCGTTTAAAGACATCCGGTTTCACCGTCGGTTTCCTTATTCCAGTTTTATTAATCGTTCACGTGTCCGATGAATGGTATCATTATCGACCACTGTTCATAACAATTTTCAATCCTTCGACTTTCAATATGAGTAATGTATTCTTTTACACAAGGATTAAAGCACTCACTTCGAAGTGTGTGTTTATTACATTTTTTTATTTAGTTAAAAATTGTCAACAGAATCGTTTATAACAAAACTAGGAGATATCTGTCCGAGCAGAAACCCTGTCACACGTTAATAGTTCACGACCGAAATATTCTTCGAGGCAGGTAACCATTTCGTAACGCGACACCTTTATATCAAGGAACCAGGATTCTTCGTCAGGTGCGAGGGGGGACGTCTTAAAACGTTTAATATATGCTAATCAACTTGAACGACGGAATTGTATGCGAAGGACGAAATGTATCGTCTTCATCCGGTTTTCTGTACGTACCACACACGATTTCAGATGTTTTTCAAGCGAATCGACCGACACCGGCCACGCGAACGTCTGGTCGCCAACCGTCCTCGGTATCTCCGTGAATTATCGTGTTACACACCGGCCGTATCCGTGGCTTCGACGGAATAATCGCCACGAACCAGCCGTATTAGACCACGGCGTGTAATTGGTAAACGGGACATGAAGATCGCGATTTTCTAACCAGCGAGCAGTAAGTTTCGGGGTCGTTCGTTAATGACGGTCTTTATCTATCGATCTGTTCTCGGTTGAACCGAGGAAGTGTCCAGCAGATAAATAATAACGAAACAAATATTTATAACGACATTCCAGTCCCTTAACTGATTTCCCGTTGATATTGGTAAATATTTATAATAAAGAAGCTGGAGGACTATTGATTTCGATGATTTTTTAATATGCTGTCAAGTTCATTATGCTGAGTAGTATTGCGAAGGTTTTAGTTGGCGGTCGCTGTTTGCAAAAAGTTTAATATCGTAGTATTGATAAGTAAAATCATGACTTTCACCTTGAAAAATGTTGTCAAAGACCTTCAAAAGAGGTATCAAATGTTTATTAAAAAGTTATTAAGAGAATAGTGATACCTTTTTCGTGAACTCTCTAATCAGCTTTGAATGATTTTTTTTCTTCAACTGTCTGTAATCAAGTCTGTATGACTTTTTTTTTTGATAACTCTCCCAAAATAACAGACGAGTTTCTATTTAAAGTCGTGTACCCGAGACGTATTCTACTTGAAAAGTTGAATTCGGTGAGAAGACCAAACGTCTAAATAATTATTTTTTTTACAAACGGCCACCTCCAACTAGAACCTTCACAACACTACTCAGAGTGACGATCTTGACAGCATATTGAAAAATTATCGAAATCGGAGGTGGCTTCTTTATTGTAAATCTTTACCTCGATATTTATCGAAGGGCAACCGTCATCATCAAGACGTCTCATCCTCTGCCTTGAAACGCTAAAAAGGACAGGGCCACCATAGATCGCCAAGGCGACGCGCGAACGGCATAACAAAACTCGCGGTCTCTTGAGACGTGCCATAGTTTTGGAATCAGTTCCTTCGCATCGAAGAGTCAATGACATCCGTCCACGTAAGGCCAGTCGATAAAAGTACGGATACTTTACCTTTTTTTTACGTCGGTGTATCTTCTGGACTTTGGAATCCGCGCGTGAAACATACGGAAGACGTGCACTTCCGGTCGACGCTCGGACTAATCGCTGTTCGAGTTCCCACGACGCATTTAATTTTCATAAAATCTACGTCACACGACAGGTCGCCTCCGATGGGTATGTAATTGGTCCGCGGTTCCGTGTTTGATTTGACGGGAAATGGATCGAGGTCGTTGGAAAAATCGGTAGTCGATCGCAGTGCACTAGCGTCGTAACTGGTGTTTTTTATCGCTGGTCCCACCCACAGTAGGACAAGTAACCTATTTAGATGGATCTATATCAAACTTGTTCTTCCTTTCCATTAAATTATATATTATCCAAATTAAAATATATTAAAATTATTGAAACAAGACACAATATATGACTCGCTCAACAGGCAAGTAAAAAATAAAATGTACCAATTTACTATATTATTCAATTATATATCTGTTATATAAAAATTCAAAATTATCAAAATAAAACAAAATAAGACATTAAATTGATTTCAATGTTTACATTGAAATATGTCATACATATGTCTTATCATAATTTATCTTTAATTTAATTTAATTTTAATACATTCTACCTTAGACAATATAGAAATTAATAAAAAAAAAAGAAACAGTTCAATGTAGACTACTTTTGTCCAGCTAGGTACGTAATTTGTCGCCTCTTTGCCCACATTGATTTTTGCAGTCGATCTTTGCTGGTGGTACCAGCCACTTCCGGTTCGACGTTCTCCTCCCTTCCCGTTTTTCTCGAACCATCGCGGCTAGATGACGTGAAAGTCGTTCCAGCGGTTGGTTGCGGTTTTCTTAGTCTCGTTTGGTAAAAGCACGGAGAGATCTGGTCGCTTTATGTAATGCCGGTCGAGCAATTGCGTCGTGCCAGTCGCGGCGGTGGTGGTTTCCCGTCTGCGATTCCGGGACGCGACGATCGAACGCGTAGATTTGACCCCCCAGTCGGACCGGGGTCAACGAGGAACAGTAGTCAGTCGGGCAGCCGAAGACCAAGCATAATAATTCACTAATCAATTTCCTTGTGTGTGTTCGCAGCTTGACGAGCGACGAGGAGGACAGCATGAGGCTATTCAGCTCGCAGAGCGAGGAGAACAACCAGTCCACGCCGAAAACCAAGGATGACGACCGAGGTATTTAAACTGTGGTTAATTGGCCTGGATAATCAACCAGCGAGCGGACACTTTTCAGCTGGCGCACGATTTTACTTAAACGCGGCACCGCGCCTCCCCCACCCGGCTCGTTGATTAGTCGTAACTCGAGTTAATCACCCGGGAGCACGGCGCGTTCTCCAGTCGGCGAGGCGTCGACTCGGTTCTCTGGAGAACACGTTTCTCTCGTTTGTTCGAGACTGGTTGTGATCATCGGGCAAATTCATTATCTGGATAAAGAGTTTCGAATAACGAATGAAAGATAAGAAAAAAGCAGGGTGGATGCACCAGTGATACATGCAATGACCATCATATGTGAAAGCGAGTAAATTAAGTTGTTAAAATAAATGACTGATTGAATATTGATTTTTTTCAATTTCTTGTTTCGTATTCAAATAATTTTCGCGCTGTTGATTAGAAATATTTATTTGTTGGAGAAACGTATATTTTTTCTTGTTAATTTAAGTAATCATATAATTCCAAATTTTCAAACTGAAATGTAGGTACGTTATAAGGAGGTATAGGGGTGAAAAAATCTAATTTATGTGCTAAATATTCATTAATATTATTATCATTTGAAATTCGACTTTAATAGTTGCAAAATTTCTTTAGTGTTCATTTGTTGGTGTGTTTACCCTACTTTGCTATTTGTAATTGATTAAACATGAACATTCGAATTTACATGATGTAATGATACTTTTTGAACCAGTAGACAGTTTGCAAACAATTTAATTTAATCTGAAATGAAGATCATATTTCGATAGGTGTTTTACTTATAAATATTTGTTTTTAGTATTTAATGTATTTCAATTTCATGTCCACGTTTTGTGTATTTTCTATTCCTTATGAACAAATCATTGAAGAATTTGAAATAATGCTATTCGAGGAGACACAAACGTGAAGAATAAGTAAAGAGATAGCATAGAATAATTAAGTAGTAGAACTGACTTAAATCAGTGAACGTGTCCTTGAGTTAAATAACATCGACCACACGAGAATTGATCTCGTTCGATGAAACCCCAAAACGCGACAATGCGACGACCCCCCAGGGAGTGGAAATCTTCGTTTTCGGCGATGACAGATACGGGGGGAATCGCTGCCATAACGGTGTAATTACCAGTTCGTGGTAAACAGCCGTTCCTAAAATTGGCGAACGTGATTTAAGAGGAAATTATCAATCACGATTACGCTCGACACGCGAAGATCGTCCGTCGAGCCGCCCTCCGCGTATACATACATATAGCATTAGCCTATTCCTTTTTCACCGGCGATGAAATATCGCGTGTCAACGCCGGGCTTCAATTTTCAACCGGGCGAATCTGATCCGTAGGATTAAGAGTTTTACGATCGACCCAATTTTCCCCATCCGTTCGATCGGTTTCCCTTCATCCCTCCACCCACCCACTTTCCAATTCTTTTTTTTTTTTTCACCCAGTCACGCGTCGTCCTCTTTCCACTAGTTCCAACGGGCTCTCTGTTATTATGTACGATGAATAGGATTATCCTCGCTTGGGAAAATCACGCCTATCGGTAGGATCTAGTCGGAAATCTGTCTTTTGTAGAGGAGAAGTGCGGCCGGGGCGGGAAGCAGGAAGTGGATCGTTTCGGATACTATCAAATGATCATGTTCTCGATAATCAGCCTGCCTCTGTTCTTGTCAGCAGGATTCACGCTTGCTTACGTGTTCACCGCCGGCGAAGTTAAATACAGGTACGTGTTTTGTTTCTTTCTTTTTCTTCCTCTTTCTCTCTTTGTCGTTTTTTCGCCAGATGGCAGTCGGTTGATAGGTTTTTCGTAATCTGCCGCGGGCATCCGTTCCTTTGTCCGACGCGCGCGGATGCTTGTACGTACACGACGTTTGCAATTGTTGTTCGCTACGAGCATCGAATAACACGAGTGCACGCGGTGTGTAATACACCGCGATCAACGATGCCGATCTGAATACGTGCGCCATTGGGAATCGATCTGGGGGATCGCGTGGTTTCGTGGCGATCGGTAAACGTACGGGTACACCATTCGATTATGCAATCGACGCTACGTAAAAATTATCAGTTTAGAACTCGATCGATTAACCCTTCCGCTACGGTATTACGCGTGCGCTTGTTTTATCTCGATCTATTTTCATGTTGCATCTTCTATTAATACGATGATGATCGGACGTACACGCCCCGATGAACGTCGCGAAAGGGGTTGTCGAAGACTACCCTTCGGACGGCACACTCTTACTTAGGTTAATCTTCGTACAGAATAACTTCGATTGTTTACTTTTATCTTGTTATTAACCTCTTCAGGGATGAATTTATTAAGACTAGAAAGAATGTTTCTTTTTCATTCTTCGACTTTGGTTAATTAAAATATATTTATATATATTAAAGACAGTCAGTTGGTAGAAAATCCTTTTTTTGGGGGGAATTTCCTGGTGGGTATTTACAGTAGAATAGAAATGATTTACAAGAACATTTCAACATTTCGAAAGCGTTTAGTGTCATTTCTCATTCGTTGCCATTTGGCAAGCTTTTTTACGTATGGCAACAATGGGAAGGAAATGATTGAGGATGCTCTCTGTCTCTCTCGTGTACAGGTGTTTAGTGCCGGAATGCGAGGATCCAGCAGACACGAGATTCGACGTGCCGTGGGCGGTCGATTCCGTTCCTGACGTCACAGAGATGTCAAAGTGTACTCGCTACCTGGTTCGTAACAGTACGAACGACGGCGAGTGCACGAATCGCTCGTTCAGCAACGTGACTCGCGGATGCGACTCGTGGATCTACGATCCATCGGAGAACACGATACTGAGCGAGGTAAGATCGCGATGTTCCGTGGACGCGCCCGTTCCACCGTTGCTGCTGGTGAACGGAAGGGGTCGTGGCGTGACTCACGGTTTTTCTATTTTCTTTCCACCGGTTACAGTGGGATCTTACCTGCGACACGAATCGATGGAAGCTCACGTTGGTGGGCACGATAAATAATGTCGGGCAATTCGTCGGGCTGATCTTCGCCGGATACGTGTCCGACAGGTGAGAAATAATTGCCGGGAAATGGACCTCAGGCTCTTAATTAGTCTTGCCCCCCCCCCACCTCTCCCCAGGTGGACGGGATCAACGGGTCCAGGAAATGGGATTCTTGGTCCGGGACACTTGGTTGCTAACGATGCTCGATCGATGCTACCCTTTGGTGAATGCTCGAAGGGGTTTTTTTTAAATCTTATTGGTCAGAAAAATAGCAAAGAGCATCCTTGGGGTAACTTTGATTCAGTTATAGGGTAACTTTGTTCTAAGCCAGAAAATGATCATTTTCTGATTTTGGGAGGAACTTAGCCCAACTCACAGTACTACCTTGAACTATGTTTCGAATCAGCGTCATTGTTAGTTTAAATTGAAACGACGAGTTAACAGAAATTTCGTAAGAATTAACACCGAGAGCAACGAGATCATACGGATTGTGGCACACTCCTGGGATCCACTACTTCTACCGAGCAATAAACTTGGTCCCGTGGAGCCCCCCGTTGAGTGACTCGGAATAAACTTTCGAGCCGGTGGCCTACAATTTCCAATTCGAATTCGGGGGCTGTTCGAGATTGCACTTTTGGACGAACTCCGGGAGTTGTTCCACCCGACGACCGTTTAAAGTTACAAATTGTTCGAAGCCGCTCGAAATTGTGGAAGGCATTACGGATTCGGGGGTGCCGCTTTAAAACAATCGTGGACAACCCACTTGCGAGTTAAAAATATCGCTAATTTGCCTGCAACAACGGCATAACTGGAAATTTGCAGGTGTCTTTTTAGTTATCAGTACAGAAAAAAACGATTATTGTCTGTACTTTCAAGTAACCGAGCTTCCAAAACTGACCACGTTAGGACAGATACTTTAATATATAGACTCGTCTCGATTATTGTCCCGAACTCGGCCAGACGATAATCCAGAGGAGTCTGTACGTTCGTTACAAAATTATAGTGATCAAAACTTTCAAGCTAGTTTTCCCTAAAATCGTGAGTTCTTTCATTATATTAATACCAAAAGAAATCTCAGTAGGTACTTTACACGAGTTTTACATAATCAGTTCATCGATAATATCTAAATCTGAAGATTACATTTTTTCAACAAAAGATGTACTGTGGACAAAAAAGTATTCGCACACCCTTTAAAACGGAACTACTTTTTACAAAATTAGACCAGAAGATTAAAGTTTTTTTGTGACGTCAGAAGGATTAGTTTACTAAGCGATGCGTGAAAAAATGTTTGAAAAATTTACAATTGCTTGAAATCGCAATGAAAATAGTGAAGGTCGCTTTTTACAATTTTTTTATCTGAAACTGTAATGAAAATTTAATAAACACATTTTGAGGATTTATATTAGTTACATACATGTTGAAACTTTCATTGAAATTGGTTGATACAGAAACGAGTGACAGGCATTGAAATATGTAAGAATCTTTAGATTGACCACAGTCGAAAGTCGCGAAAAACAGCGATTTTCAACATTTCTAACAGTTCGTATCTCATAATATAGCAACGTTAACCATTGCCAAATTACACGATTTCGATCTTGCTTTTTCAGCATTACAATCACACCTCGGGTTAGTCGAAAATCGCGTAGTTGTGCCGGTTATTGCGGCAAATGAGCGGATGTCGAGTTCTCTCTGGGTTCGTCGTGACAGCTAGCGCAGAACGCACATGGTCGTTGCGTTCCGTCACGCGTCAAATCGCGTCCAGAACAATGAAAACGGAGCCTGGTGCCAATAACGCCGTTCGTCGGCTACTTATTCGCCCCGTTATTTTCCTAGATACGGAAGACGTACGATTTTGACGCTCACCACGTTCCTGAGCGGAATCAGCGGGCTGATACATTCCTTCTCCGTGAATTATTGGATGTTTCTCGCGTTCGAATTTATCGACGCGACTGTCGGGGCCGGTATCTACAGCGCTGGATTTATTTTAGGTGAGTTAATAACGAAGCAAAGTAAGGGAAGATGTTCGACGTGAATAATGCCGGTATAAATAACGGTCGTGTTTCACGGTGCAATCCCCTACGAACTCGCGCCGCTCCGCTTTCGATATATCGAAAAACAGGTGGCCATAGGTGTGTACCGAACGCTCGTAACTACACTGCAAATATTCCCCATTACAGGCTGTGTACCGTGTATTTCATTATTCTCTGGTAAATTATTAACTAGGGGAAAGTTTTTTAAATTTAGTAGCTACCATTATGTGTAGGGTGTGCCACGTAAGGTGAGCACCTTAACACTAGAACTAACGGCATTGAATGTATACTAAATTAAATTGATTAATACAACGATATACAGAATATATAAAACAATCTAGCATAATATACCATAAAATGAAATCTGTAGCAAATTAAAAACTAATATAAATTCTGTTAAATAATTTTAGTAATGGTAAAGTAGTAAATCTGTAATCCCTCATTTTGACGAGTTTTGGTAGTTCTAGTGTTAAATATCACACTTGTTTTTGAGGATACAACAAAATGTGACGGGGAAAGTATTATTCGGTTAGAAGGAGAAAATACTACGATAAGCAAACACATTTTTCTCGAGGTCATATTTTTCGAAACTTCAAGGTAATCGATGTTTCTTTTTTAAATGGGATCACATATTTTTATCAAAGAGATCAAGACCAATCCAATGACCTGTAATAGTGTGACCTTCGCGTGACCTTGAGTATGAAAAATCCACAAATCTATGAAAATAGATTTAAATTATAAAACAACTACGATAGAGGGATTCGTAGAAAAATGTATCGAAGTTGATGGACATCACGTTGGGCATTAATTAAAATAAATTCTCTGCAACTCAAACGCAGGTGAAATACTAAAGGTGCTCATCGTTAGATGGGACATCCTGTATTGTGGGCTTTGAAACGGGCGAGAGTTCGTTCCTGGAGGGAAAATTAAATTTCGAACAATCATTGAGAGCCGTACAAATAATTGATTAGGATTCTGTAAAGGTTTTGTAAGGATTTTGTATTTGTTGATTTTCAGGCATGGAAATGGCGGGAGTGAAAGGTCGAGTCCTGGCCAGCACGATTGCCAGCTGCCTGTTCGCGGTCGGTGAGATGTTACTGGGATTGATCGCGATGTGGACGAGATCGTGGCGTCTGATTCTTCGATTTGTGTACGGGCCGGCGTTGCTCGCCATCTTGATGCCCTTCTTGATCCCGGAATCGGTCAGGTAATATCTGTCGGTGACTATTTAATTCGCAATGGCCCACGGCTCCTCGTTAACGGTCACCGAAACGATCCCCCTTTAACGACTATCCGGAGTCGTCGTCGTTGTTGCCGCGACATCCGGCCAATTAACTGGCCCTTCGGCGTCATCGAAATCCCGGTTGATTGGATCCACGGTTCTCATTAACGACCCCGATTCGAAACCCCTACCCCCCTCCGTGACAGCTCGTTTAATATTTAGGATACAAACCGTTCTCGTTTAACCATCATTTTCGTACGATTATTATCGATTGTATACCATAGGAGGTGATTCAAATAGAGGCTAGGGTCTAAATATGGGCCTAGTTGAAGGTATAGAATCATGTTAGGTCAGGGCCGGTTAAAACCTTCGGAGGCCCTAAGCACTTAAAAGATTTCGGTGTTCCCCATATAAATCAATAGCTACCAAAATGTTCCTGTAAAACCGTAATTCTATCATACCTTTGTCGTAAATTTTGTCATTATTAGTAAAACAAGTAAACACATTGATGGTGCAATATTCAAGGTGGCTGTTGGCTAATGGGAAACACGACAAGGTCGAGAAAATTTATCGTAAAATGGCTCGTCTGAACGGGCTGCAGATTTCTGAGGAGGCGATCGGAGCGTTCAAGGATCTGAACATGGTGAAGTCAGAGAAGGTACAATAATATCGAATACTTTTTACTATTTCTGTTCCTATAATACTATGTAATTAATAAACTTTATGCAATTATGGCCTATAAAGCTCTGTGAAATGCAACGAATGACGAAGCTTCATCAGAAGCAACCAGTTTCCTATTTTCTTCTTAACCCAACAAGATATTTAAGGGAACAAAGAAATTTCCTACCTTTCTTCCTCATGAATCACTTTATAAAATTTTATTTTGCATACAAATCTGCAGTCTAGTAATTAAGAACAATCGATTCATCTTGTAGACGGAGCAAGCAGCAGTGACAGAGAAGAAGAGTCCAATCATGCAAATACTGAACAGTTCGGTGATGATGACGAGATTGGTGGCTTGCTCGTTCTGCTGGCTGACGAACACATTCGTCTATTACGGGCTGTCGTTGAACTCGGTGGCCTTTGCCGGCGATAAATACTTGAATTTCATCCTGGTCGCCGTTGTCGAGATACCGGCTTACTTTATGACCTGGTTCATGACCGATTACGTCGGTCGCAAGGCAACTCTGTCGTCTTCTTTCATGTTAAGCGGTGTTTTCTGTCTCGCGATACAGTTCGTGCCGTCAGGTGAACATAATAAGTGATTATTCCAGGAAACTTCGTTTCGATACAGAATCGATCTTGATAAAAAAATTTCATTCTTCAGGCTCCTGGACCTTTGTTCCCCTGATTCTGTACATGGCTGGGAAATGGTGCATCACCATGTCTTTCTCCACGGTATACATTTACACGGCGGAGCTGTTCCCAACAAACATGAGGCACTCTCTTCTTGGAATTTGCAGCATGACCGGCCGCATGGGGTCAATATTGTCGCCACAAACTCCACTTTTGGTAAGTACGCCACACCACAAGTGTCCACATCCTAGAGCCAATGGGAACAGTAACCTCTTGTTGCTCGAGGGTGTATCTCGAGCATCAAAGGACTGGCCGAGCAATAAAAAACTTCACATAATGTTCAGGAAATCTCACAATATTTTTAATAAGACATTACGTTTCTCAAATATTTTTAATAAGAATGGGATATTAATAGAGCAGCTGCACCCCATTTACAAATATTTCATAATTTTTAAATTTATAATTTACAGTTCTTGCTTAATTGTCATTCACTGGTATGCAGTCAGTTACTAGCTTGTTTATCCATCTTGTAAAATAGGGCCAAGTGGCCCAAGCTATCATCGCGGAGAATAGCTCCAGTTAGCTAACTTCGTTATTTCCATGAAAAATCTCTGATTCCCCCTTGATGATCCTTAAATCACCGCCACTCGCCAGATATACAGTGGACTCTAACTATATTGCCACTAAACATATTGCCACCCAAGGCACTTTCCTTCACACTTTTGGGCACACAAATTCTATGTATACCGGTGCACTAGCACGATCCAGCTTTTGCCCTGAGGTCGAGGCTACGACGACAGAACTTAGCATGGGGGGGGGGGGTTCCCTATAGCCCCAACCATGGCAATATAGTTAGAGTCCACTGTACTCTACTCGCCCCTCCCCCAGTGTTTACACCGTTCGTTTCGATGCACAGGCGCAAATCATGCCGGAGCTTCCACTGATTCTTTTCGGATGTATGGCCTTGTCCGCGGGAATTCTGTCGCTGGTGTTCCCGGAAACGCTGGGAACCGCGCTACCGGACACGGTGACGGAGGCGGAGAACATCGGGAAGTCGCGACCGAAGCTAGACGTCCAGGACTCGCCGTCTTAGTGGCTCGATGCATCGGGACGTTTCAAATGCAATTCGAAAAAGTGGGTGGGAACACGAAGTAAAGCGTGGGGAGAGAAGCTTTTAAGAGTTCCGGAAGCGACTGTCGGCCGAAGCTCGAAACGCGTGAAAGCTTCCAGAAGCGAAAAAAAGAGTTGGCGCGCTGGGACCTCGTATATGTCTGGTTTGTGGCGGGTTACGGAGCCGGATCCAGCTCGATCGCGATCTATCCCGTGATAAAATTCACTCCTCTGTGTTCAGCCCTCCACGTCGACGGCGTATCCGATGATTTCGATCACTCCCAGCTCACCGACGCTCTCCGACAGATGATAAGAAGATCGATTCGGTTTTCCTTTTTTTCCCTGTGTAGGCGTATCATTGGTTTAATGAATTTTTCTAATGCGTTAAATTGCTTCGGACCCCGTTAAGGCTATCGTTTGACGTATTAGAGGAAATTCTCGATGAATGTTCGAAGGTTCCTCGGCATTGACAAGGTCCCTAAGGGTATATTTTTTAATGAAGTTTAGTATAGTGATAGAGCTGGGAATTCTGAAACCATTGGTGTTTGTTTCAACCGTATACGACCATTAGTTTATGAAATATTTAATGTTTAGTGCCGAGGAGCCTTCCACACTCATCGAGGATTTACTGTATCTGTCGTCTGGACGTTCTGCGATGTGTCATCAGCTTGGCCGACGTTTTGATGCTTCGTGTTCCGCTTATGAGAAAATAGATTATGTATATACTCAGGTATTCCAGACAGTATTGCCGCGTCTCATGCCAGCGAACCGTAATCAAGTCGGTTGAATTATATCGGACCAGTTTGTTTCTGGTGGAATGTAATTATCGACGGACGTTACCGTTAGTCGTAGCACTTCGTGCCATTGATAGAGGATCGTTTAGGGAAATGTACGATATATTATTAGGAGTTACGAAGTCGTAGGCATATTTATGTTTCGTATCGATGCCACCGTGCATACGATGGATATTTACTGTACAGATCTAGGTATTATAGTACAATTATTATTGCAAAACCGCAGCGAGTATCGTTCACCGTAGCTCTCGGGCGAGTGAACGAGTAGTTGGATCGACGAGGAAAAAAAGTGTTTGTGACGATGAAAATGTTTTCAATATTGTGTAATTAGGTTCAGTTTTTTTTTTCAACGAGTATTATATTGATCGTTGCCATAAATAGTATTATCGAAACGATGTTAAGTACAGACGAATACTATTTTGTTTATAGCAGTTCTTTTGTACGTACCTTCGTCGACAGACACGAAAATGTTTCCATCGTGACGCAAGATAGTAAGATCTATCGGTAGTTTACATAAATCTATTCTTAAGGTCGACATTCAAGTTACATGTATATCGAATATTAATGTAACGAGGAACATACATGATTCCGGCAATACACGAACCTTTACGAAGTTCCTGGTTCCGCGTATCAAAGATTCATACTCAGCCTGACTTTGATACCGTTCTTCCTTTATATGTACTCACAGAATTCTTCATTAGCCTGTTACATTTTTCACGGTGCCCGGGTATACCGTCCTGTCCCAAATCTCTCCAAGCACACCAACAGACGGAATTGAATAATCTATACGGTGATCCTCTTGCGCAAGCATACAAGAAAGAAGACGAAGAAGCAGCTGGTCGAACAAGAGGAATAGACAAGTTCTCCGAGAAAATTATTCCACCTACAATACAAGAGAAAGCAGTAAGTAATAAAACGTTCGAGCCAAACATCGTTTCATAAATTTGTCGGTTAAGGGTGTAACAAGAATTCTCCAAAGTTCTCCAAGAACAACTTCTATTCATGATACTTGGCCCGACAACGGTGGTGCCCATCTCGTTAAAGACACAACGAAAGAGGGAACAATTAAAAGAGAACACGAACGTGTAACGGTGTACACGGAAATATGTATAATTCAAGAACGCTTCGAAACATTTGCGGTGTCCGACTAAATGAAAGCACGCTACACCACACCCCACCGTCTTCCATTTCCAAGCAGAATGGAAGCCGTCGTCTGTAAAAGAGTTAGATGCAACATGGCGTCTGTCGTGCGCAATATCAAAGGATCCAATACCGTGTAACGGGGTCACTGGAGCCAGCCCTATATTTCGTCTCGTGGAATATTTTAACATACACGAGGATTTGGATATTTCATTTTGACAAATTCCTAACGCCCCCAAGCAGCTGGTTATTTTATGTTTACAGATGACTCGGCCGCCTGTAATAAATATCCTCCATGCCCGCCACAAATCTTCCGTGGCCTCCCGCATTCGTCCCCGTTCCGTTTTTCTCAGAACGCGAAAAACGGGCGTCGGACGTTTCCGCCGATTGTACCTGACAGCGGAGTCACTGTCAACCTCGCCGAGCCATCTCGTCCGGAAAGTTTTTTATAACTTTGGCCATGTACCGGGTAATCTAAAAATGGATGAATATTTTAGGGGTTTGTATATAGTTCGTTAAAGTGAATGGCAAAAGTGATTACGTGGATTCATTCTTGAGACAGATATAGGGGACAGCTGTATTTCGATATTTTATGCAAAGGCCAAGCTTGAGGTTCGTGGGCCTAGGTTATGAAGTTGATGCTCCTAACAGAAGTTTTAAAGGAAGGCATTCTTTAGATATAATAGACCGATAACTAGACTACGGATTTTTATGCAAAATAACAGTTTCTAAAGTAATTTATAAAGACAAGCAAATGTAGCAAAATAGAAAACACAGTGGAGCCAATGAAAGTTTTGTCTCTTATTGTATTTCACAGAGCCCTATAGACTATAAATGCATAAAAGCTACCGATAACAATGTCATATTGTGCTCCTCAACGTAAAGTTCCTAAACTATACAACCTACACTGAAGAGACAATTGAAGTTTACTACAATTAGTACAATAATAGACACGTTAAAAAACCGTAAAACAGGATACGTACAATTTTAATTGTAAAAGTTTAACAACATAAATATTTTTGTACAGAAATTTCAAACCAATCAACTCACGATCGCAATGTGATAATAAACAAATTTCCTCGCTATCAATGTCAAATAATACGAAAAGTAACGAATCGTTACCGAATTCCTCCACTCCGTAGAAAACAGAAACGGCCATGAAACTCTGCAAATTCGAACCCTCTTCACTTTCCAGCTAGGAAACGCAGACAGAGAGAGAGAAAGAGCTCGTCTTCGTCCTTTTGCTAAAAAGACGCGTGGCGGGGCCCGCTTTCTCTTCGCTGAAAGCGTATCAATAACCCTCAGCGAGTCTGCAAGAGCAGTATAACTCAAACGAAGCAAGCCTCCTGGCAGAAATGGGGGAATGGAAAGCATTGCACGCATACGCTCGAAAAGGGAAAAACCGTGGACAAAAGGAGAGAGAAAGAGCGCGTATACTACGCGCATTACCGTTGCATCGAGCATCAACAGGCGTATCGATGCGCCTTTTCCTTTTCCCCAGGATTATTCCGCGTCTGAAGCGAGTGCTCTTTCCC